TTCGTCGGCGTTTTTGGGGGGCCTCCCTGGAGGGCCGGCCCCGCCGCCGCAGCCTGGCTCCGCGTCGGGGCATCTCCTGGCCCCGGCAGGGGCCCCGGCAGGGGTCGGCAGGGGCCCCGGCAGGGGTCCGGCGGTGCCCGTGGTGTGTCTCGGAGGCCCAGAGGTTGGCACCAGCGCCTTCAGGTCAGCAGTGTGCCTCCACCGAGGGAAGCTGATCCCAATCTCGGTGATGGTGGTAGTGTTTGGGCTTCCCAGAAGTGCCCGAAATACTTCCACCAACGCAACACGAACATCTAGGATCACCCTCTCCTGGTGAACGCACTTGGTGTTGGTGTGTCCCCTCTTCGAAGAAGAACAAAACGCCACAAACATAAACTTGTTGGCTCTCCGCGCGGATGTCTCGGATCCGCGCTGGGCTCCCCCTTGGCGGCGCCTCGGGCGCCGCCCCTGGCGCGCTCCGCGCGCCAAGGAGGGGGGTCCAGCGCGGATCCAAGAAATCCTCTGCTCCAGGTCTCCCCAATGGGGTCCGAGTAGAGTCAACCCGCATTGTAAGGATGGGCAACCTTCCCAAGGGAACCTTTGCATCCTTCCCCTTCGGCCCATCCTTGGCCGCTTTCGCTGGCCGCGCCCCGCTTGCAAAGTGTCGACGTGGCCGTCCGAGGCCCGTGCGTCCTGACCGCGCATCCTTCTGATGTGGGTTGACCGTAGATGGGGTCGAAGGATCGCGCCGCATCGCCGATGCATCGCCGATGCGGCTCGATGTGGAGCCCGATGTTCTCCATTCCAACGGCACCAATACGTCGCCGACGTCGCGGATGCATCGCCGATGCATCGGCGATGCATCGCCGATGCGTCGGCGATGCGGCACGATCCTCGGACCCCATCTAGGAGGCCTCTATCTGCACGGGGGGGCGCGGGGCCTCCCTTTCACTACGCTCTCGGAGGCCAGCCCCGACGCACTATCCCTCCTCCCCCCTCTTCGTCCCCAGCTTCTCCCTCCCCTGGTTCTCGTCCTCCTGCCCCTCCTTCCCAGAGGGAAAAGGTGTGATGCGTGCGCCTCCCTCGTCTCGGGCTCCGTTGCCTGGGGCCGCCGCGAGGCGAAGGTCGAGGACCGGCCGGGGCACGGCCGCGACCCAACGCGAAGTCCCGGGCTCAGTACGGGCTGTAGGCAGTCTCGCCCCTCCCGGAGGGGGTCCAAGGTGGGCAGAGCAAGCGGGAAGAGAGCATGGTCTTTTTTGGGGGGGAGGAGGGAGAGGAAGGAAAACGGTGAATGGTGGCAATTGGCGCCGTAAGGTCTTGCAGGTCTGAGTAGTGGAGGTGCGCTGGCACCCCTCCCTACGGTCGTCTTCGTTGGCCGAGGGACCGTAGGGAGAGCCTCGGCCCCCTCCATTGGCAATGGCGCCGGCGACAGTGTCAAGAATGGGAGCGGGACCCCCGGCAGCCCCTATGATGGCAGCTGCCGAGGGGGTGGGGCCTACGATTGCAGTTGCCGAGGGGGGGACATCAGGAGGGTGCGGCAAGGTCACGGTATATCGCATGGTCGGGCGAGTCAGCGGTGATTCGCCCTCTTGCACCCATGCCTCCCTTGCTGTGGGAACCGATGTTGGCGCAAGTTGGCACTGGGACTGGCGCGCGTCCTCACCCAGCTAACGGAAGGCGTGCGCGCGCGGCCCAGCTTCGGACGACCTGGCGAGAGGGAACCTATTAAGTATGTATTATGTATATATATATATATATATATATATATATATATATATATAGGTACAGATACATTAGGACTGGACTATTGGTATTATAATACCGTGCCCAGCCAGAGTAGTATTGTATCAGTGAAGTGGCAGCGCAGTAGTCATCCAAACCAGTAGTAGTAGTAGTAGTAGTAGTAGGAGGAGGAGGAGGAGTAGTAGTAGTAGTAGTAGTAGTAGTAAGAAGAAGAAGAAGAGTCGGAGTAGATGTAGTTGTAGTAGTAGTAGTAGTAGTAGTAGTAGTAGTAGTAGTAGTAGTAGTAGTAGTAGTAGTAGTAGTAGTAGAAGTAGACGTAGACGTTAGACGTAGACGTAGACGTAGACGTAGACGTAGTAGTAGTAGTAGTAGTAGTAGTAGTAGTAGTAGTAGTAGTAGTAGTAGTAGTAGTAGTATAGTAGTAGTAGTAGTAGTAGTAGTAGTAGTAGTAGTAGTAGTAGTAGTAGTAGTAGTAGTAGTAGTAGTAGTAGTAGTAGTAATCGTAGTAGGTAGTACCCAGGTCTGGCAGTAAAGATCATACCCTAGTATTGGGTTTAGTAGTCGCACTGTAGTCTTGTAGTCCAAAATAACCCAATGCTGCCGTACTCGGATAGAGTATTGATACCATCGAACTGGAGTGCGATAGTAGTAGTGCTGTAGGAATCGTTTCGTTCTGTTATGGGACTGGTGTGCTAGTGTAGCAGTGGCAGTGTAGAAACAGTGCACTAGTACATGATTCGTCGGATTAGTACTTAACGATGTCTTGCAATACTGTAATAGGAATGCTCCACTGCCGCAGCATGGCACAACTAATTGTTGTGACACTATCAGAGTGTAGTGCTGTAGTGGTGACGCTGTAACAGTAGTTGCAGACGCTGTAATAGTCGCAATGCAACGCTGCAGCAGTGCTATGACACGTGATACGTTAGCACTGTACTGGTATTGCTCTAATACTGGCAGTAGTTGTAATGGAGCTTTAACATTGGAGTACTCAAGCACGGCCGACGTGCCCTAGCAGCGCAGTGCCGTAGTAGTATTGTGTTAACCGCATTCTACTGAAGTCGTAATGGTGCTCTGTTACAGTAGTAGTGATAACAACGTAGTGGTGGCTGTGCAAACAGCACGGTCTTGTAGCACTGTTAATAGTGTAGCATCACTCTAATATTGTCGAGTTGTTGTACCAGCAATTGCGTTGCAGGAGTAGTCGTAGCCGCATACTATGATAGTAGAACTGTTGTAGTAATGAGGTAGTATTAATACCCTAGCATTGTAATAGCACTTGGAGGTCAGAGGCTCAGGCTAGGCTTTGGCGGAGGTTAGGCACAGGCCGAGGCTCAGGCTGAGGCTGGGGCTTATCTTAGGCTGAGGATGAGGCTCAGGCTGAAGCTAGGCTGAGGCTTAGGCTAGGGTTGGGATTGGCTTAGGTTGAGGCTTCCGCCGAAGCTCAGGCTAAGGTTTGGACGAGGCTCAGGCTAGGCTTAGGCTGAGGTGTAGGCTAGGCTGAGTCTTAGGCTTAGGCTGGGGTTTGGGTCGGGCTTAGGCTATGCTTAGGCTAGACTGAAGCTTAGGCTTGCCTGGCTTAGGCTGCGGCTTAGGCCAGGCGGGGGCTGGAGTTTAGGTTTAGGCTCGAGTTTGGGCCAGGCGTAGGCAACGCTTAGGCTAAAGCTTAGGCTAGGCCGAGGCTGAAGCTTAGGCTCAGGCCAGGCTTAGGCCAGGCTGGAGAAGCAGAGGCTTTTCTAGACAGAGGCTGAATCTGAGGCTGAGGCTAGACTTCGGCTAAACTTCGGCTGGAGCTTAAGCTGGGCTAGGCTGCGGCTTAGGCTCTGCTTAGGCTGAAGTTTAGGCGGACGGTGGCGGAGAAAGAGAAAGTGGGAGAAAGAGAGGAGTGGGAGGCAGCGCCGAAGAAAAGCATCGCGGGTATACCACGCCGATACCAACAGCAAGCACACGATGCGCTCCGCCTCCCCCAACATCAAATCCTTTAACACGCGGGGGGGCGATTCGGCCCTCGAACCGAATAAACTATCCCGCCCCACTCGTCACATGTCAATGCCTGGGCGGGCGGAAGCACGTCACGTGGCAGCGCCGCGGAGTCCGAGTACAAATGCTACCCCACACTACTCGCCACGCACAAAGCAGCGAGGTCGCGCGCCCACGCGCCCGCCCGCACGCCCGCGCGCTTGCCCGTGGTCACGCCCGTGCAGTGCGACGCAACGCAATGCCATGCACACGCAGCGCAGTGCAGTGCAATACGCTGCGCTGCAGTGCAATTCAATGCGCTGCGATGCCATGCGCGCCTCGTCGCGCGGTCGCGCCGCGGTGGCCGACAGAAGCTCTATCCCGTTTCAGTCGCCCTTTGGCAACGTACTAGCCCGCTCTATTCGTCACGTGGCAGCGCCGCGAGGGCCGACAAAAACAACACGATTCCATGATTCGCCACGTGGCAACGCCGGGGGTGGGGCGAAAACAACACAAACAATTGTGTTCGTCACGTGACGACGCCGCGGGGGCCGAGCAAAACATACTGTGCCACTCAACTCGCCACGTGGCAACGTCTGGAGGCACAAAGGAATAGCAGTCCATTCGAATGTTGGACAGGTGGCAGCGCCGCGTAAGCCGATCAAATATTATGCCACAGCGACGAGGACGAGAAATGCGACGAGAACGATGACGACGACGATAACGTCTTGGAGCCATCTTGGGGCCGTCTCGGGGCCATCTGTGGCCGTTCGGGGTACTTCTTTGGCCGCCTTGGGCCGTCTTGGGGCTATCTCCTCCTCTCCCCTCCCTCCTCCCTCCTCCCCGCGCGCCCCTTCTCCAGGGCCGGAGTATGCCGCAGTGCGCGTCGCTGCGGGGGCCCAAGAAAAGTCCGTCCCGCCCCACTCGTCACCTGGCAATGCCTGGGCGGGCGAAGAAGTACCATTCTTGTGGAAGTCGATCAATGGAGAGGAGGCGTACTGCCAAATGATCTCCAGATGCCAAAAACAAATGTTTTAAACATGCCTTAAGCATGTAGGCGAATGTTTTAACCAGAAGAACTTTATATGTTAAACACGTATTTGATTCAATGACAGGATTGTTAGAGTGTCCATTGTCACGGCATCCACAGTACCATTCCACTCCACTCGTCACGTGCGCAGCACCGCGGAGCCCGGATGCAAGTACGACCCTACTCTTATTCGCCACGTGCAGAACAAATGCATCGAACTCTTGCGCACTTGACGGCGCCCCACTTCGTGCCTCGAGGCACGCTGGCAGATCATGCCATGACGACGACAAACACGACGACGACGCGAAGAACCAAAGGAGAAACATCATTACTCCTCATCGTCCTTCTGCCTCCCCCCTCCTCCATCCTCCTTCCTCCCTTCCCCCTTACACCTCCCCCTCCATCACGCCTCATCCTCCCTCGTCACTCCTCCTCCTTCCTCCCCTCCTCTCTACCTTCCTCTGTTCTCCTCCTTCCCTGTCGTCAACTCCTGCCCCTCTCCCGCAACACACTGCAACGCAAACTACTGCAAACACAAGTGCAACCGATGCAACTCAATAGGATGCATCGCAACTCCATTCAGTCCAATGCAATCCAACGCAATGCAATGTAAAGCAACGCAATGCAGCGCAACAGGATGACATGGCATGTAATGAATTGCAGAACAATGCAATGCAGTGCATTGCAATGCAATGGAGTGCAATACAATGCATGCAACGCATGGCAGCACAATGCAATGCAATGCAATACAGCGCCTCCCCCCTTCTCCCTCCCCTGGGGCCAGAGAAAGACATTGAACCCCCAACGCCCGGGCCTCCCCCCTCCTCCCCCCTTTCCAGAACCAGAAACAAGTCGATTGAGCCCCAATCCCCGAGCCTTCAGACGGCGTCAATTGGCCACTTTTTGCACACCCCTCACATGGATCGTGCCTCCAGGACCAGAAACATGCATTGAACCCGCAGAACACATTTATTGAACCGCATTTGATTGCATCAACCTTCCATACCAGATTTGGTGATTCTCCATCTCTCCTGCTCCTCCTGCTCTTCCTGCTGAGGGACCTGTCGGTGCTCAGGTGCTGCTCATCCTCCTCCCCTGTGCCGCTCCTGCTTCGCCTCATCACGGACATTTGTCCTTTCCCCCTGCTCCGTGCTCCTCCGTGTTTTTCCTCCTGCATCTCCTTCTCTCCATCCACCACCTCCTCTTCCTCCTCCTCCTGATCCAAATTCCTCCTGCTCCGCCTCGCTCTCTCTCTTGCTCCTGCTCTCCTGGCCCTGCCTCTCCCTCCTGCTCCTCTCCCCGTCTCTTCCTGCCGCATTCCTGCTGCTCCCGTGTCCGCACGGAATCATCCGCCAGCCCGACAGGACGGGGTCATGGACGCGAAGCAGCGCCAGATGGCCTTGAGATCTCTCGGGTTCCGCTGCCTCAAGCACGACTACGTGCAGCCGCCTCTGAGCGAGAAGCACAAGCCGTGTGGGGGACTTCGACTCCTCGTGAAGGACAAGGAGCGCCTGGACAAGTCCGTGGTGATCGCCTACCTTGACAACTTCGCGGGAAGCGTGTTTGACTACGACGGCAGATGGAAGTCTGAGGCCTACTACGTCGACCAGGTCGAGGCTCTGGCCAAGGCTCGGGGACTGGGACCTTCAACGCCGACACAGGATGTCGGCCAGGCCCCTTGTGGGCCCAGCGCGGCCAGACAGACCCTCCTGGCCTGGCTTCTTTTTTGGGGGGGAAGTGTCATGGCAAGATTGTCTCTACGGTAGGTTCGCGTCCTGTCGACCGGCGGCATTCTCGTTTTTGGTACTGCTGACGATTGAACACCGCCAACGACCCAGAATCGGTCAGTGTTGAACGAATTGACAGTTCTCGAAGGAGAAAAACGCCATAGACATAAACTTTTGGCGTTCCGCGCGGATTTCTTGGATCCTCGCTGGATACCCTCAGCGGCGCCTCCGGTGCCGCCCCTGGCGCGCGGAGCGCACCAGGGAGGGGGGGCCGACGCAGATCCCAGAAATCCGCGCGGAGCGCGCCACACAAATTTATCATTATGGCGTTTTTTCCTCCTAGTGTCAGGAGCCAAAGCAAGGGGCGGCAGGATGCGAACCCGCGGTACACTGATTCGGTGTCCCGGAAGAGCGTGTGGCGAGTCTCTGCGTCCGCGCACGGCTGGGGGGGCGAGCACCAGCAGGGAGAGGAGGAGGAGGAGGAGGAGGAGGAGGAGGAGGAGGAGGAGGAGGAGGGGGAGGAGGAGGAGGAGGAGGAGGAGGACCAGTGTAAACCCAAAAGTCATCAACGATGTTGGAGTAAACCCCTACAAGCTCCCTCTACATAAGCTCCCACAACGGTTCATTTTCCATTGATGGAACTACCTCGTTGGAAGACACCCGAATGAAGACCCCCAAGCATGCGAAAACATTGTTCTCGAGATTCTTACGCCACGGATCAACCTGATTGTTACGTCTTGACGATCCTGAATCGTGCCAGAACGCCATTCCTAGGACTTCAGTACATAGAACTGACGCAGTTGTTGCGCACGCATCGTCCTGAACCCTTCCAAAACACCATTGCTGGTGCGTTTATGATGGGAATCCGTGGAACTCTTGAACATGCTATAAGCGAATGCGCGCAGCGCTAAGGCCAGAGCCGCAAAACAAGTGTGCGCCGCGCTAAGGCGAGAGTCACATTTTGAAAACCACTCGCCCTCAATCCCGGGAACTCTTGCAAATGATTAAAACGAATGCGCGCCGCGCTAAGGCGAGAGCCACATTTTGAAAACCACCCGTCTTCAATCCGTGAAGCCCTTGCAAATGTTCGACAGGAATGTGCGCCGCGCTAAGGCGAGAGCCACATTTAGAAAACGACCCGCCCTCCATCTGTGAAACTGTTGCCAACGTTTAGGCTTCGGAGCCTCACATGGTGAGGAAGTCTCAGGCGAAACGCCCGGCCCGCTCTAAAAACTGGCCTCGGGGTGCGAAAGGGAGAAGTTCTTTGCAAGGAAAAGGAACGGAGGAGGAGGAGGAGGAGGAGGAGGAGGAGGAGAAGGAGGAGGAGAAGAAGGGAGGAGGGAGGAAGGAGGAGGGAGGAGGGAGGAGGGAGGAGGAAGGAGGAGGAGGGAGGGAGGTGGAGGAGGAGGAGGAGGAGGAGGAGGAGGAAAGGGAGGAGGAGGAGGAGGAGGAGGAGGAGGAGGAAAGGGAGGAGGAGGAGGAGGAGGAGGAAGAGGGAGGAGGAGGAGGCTGCAGAGCTTCTTGCGCATTTCACAGCGTTTGTCCCTCCGTGGGGCCTCGCCTCTCGTCCGTGAGATATCGCCTCGTATGCCCCGGGCGGCGCCTGGCGGCTCCCGAGGCGTTCTGGGGTCTCGGCCCGGGCTGTTCGACCCCCCCGAGGTGTTTGAAGCACGCGTGCGCTGCACCACGCTGGAGTGGGCCCCGCAGGGAGTCCACTCGTGGCTCGGCGCGTGAGCGTCGCTCTCGTGCCCTTTGGGACCCCTCCGAGGCCAGCGCGCACTCTGAGGTCCGACGCAGCGGAGAGGAGGCAGCACCGTGGAGCACCACGGCCGCGGCCCCAGACCCCATCTCTCCGCGCCTCCTCATCGGGCTGGATCGATCTGTGAGGGCCCCAGGGCCCGACGCAGGGCGAAAATGCCCGGCTCGAAGACATTGAGACTTCAGGATCGCAGGGCACCACCAGGGTTGAGCCGGGCGTGTCCCTCTACAGGGAGAGTATTCAAACAATAGAAGACAAATAGTTTGGGGAAGATGTTTTGACTATGTTTGGCAGTGTTTGTTTAAACTATGTTTCGTGCAAGATCCACCTGTAGGAGGACATGCCCGACCTGACACCAGGGAGGCCCGCAGCGCTCCACAGGAGCGCGCACGCCCCGGCAGCGTTCCCCCCACAGGCGGACTTCGTGGAGACCACCCGCGAGCTGCCGTGGTGACGTCTCCGAGCGTCCGCGAGCGCCCGAGGCGGCCTCGGGCTAGCGGGGGGCACTCGACGACCAGAGAACGGCAGAAGCCCAGGAGGGACACATCGGCACAACCAAGACGAAATGCTGATTTCTAGGAGCAGGTGGGAACATAGAGCAAAGGGAGGGGAAGAGGAACACCCAGGACAGATTCGAACAGATATAGGGTCCTGGAATGTTAGTCGATGTACCAGTGTGTGTGTGTGTGTGTGTGTGTGAAAGTGTGTCCCTGGGCCCCTTTGTAAGCCTCTAACTTCTCGGAGGTCCGCCTCGATTTTTTGGATCGGCGTTGGGCCCCTCTGGCAGCGCCTCTGGCGCCGCCCCTGGTGCGCTCCGCGCCCCGGGGAGGGGTGTTCAGCATGGATCCAAGAAATCCGCGCGGACCTCTGAGAAATTGTTATCATGCCGTTTATCGGTCGCAAATCGGGGAAGCCTTGTATGTTCTCGTAGCTCCGCTTTCCGATTACATCAGCTTGCGCTAGCGTCTGATAGCCGATGAGAAATCAGAGAAAGGGCCGACTCAGCGTCGATCGGCATCTATCAGTGCCGGTTAGCATTGATTTAGCGCCGATTGCTGTTGACAAGTGTCGAGTAGCGTCGGTCGGCGTCTATTCGCGAGAGACAGCAAGACGGCATGGGAGGCTCCGGCGAGTTGCCACCGAAGGAGTCCCGAAGGAATCGAGACGAGGCTGCTCCATAATCTCCTCAACTCTTCGTGCAGTCCCACCAGCCCGTCGAGAAGTGATCCCGCCGTTTGTTCCTCCAGGGTCTCTGCGCGCGCGCAACGGCCCGCGGGGTGCCTTCCCGACAGGGGCCCGCCGCCGGGGGCTCGCGCGGGCCTCGTGCGCCACGCTTCAGGCGGGCGTGCAGGCCCACGGTCCGCAGGAGAGGGCACCTCTGCGCCACCGCCGGGGGGGCCGTCCTGTGGGCCTCGGGGCGACGTGCCCGCCTTCAGGGGCCACGTCCCCAGACCTCCTCGCTCCTCCTCCTCCTGCTCCTCCTCCTCCTTCTCCTTCTCCGTCCTCCTCCTCCTCCTCCTCCTCCTCCTCCTCCTCCTCCTCCTCCTCCTCCTCCTCCTCCTCCTCCTCCTCCTCCTCCTCCTCCTCCTCCTCCTCGCGTTGTGAAAAACAACAACGACGGGAGGTGTTTCGCTGTTTTTGGCCTCCGGGGTCCTTCCCGGGCCTCGGGACTGTCAAAAAACGACTCGGGATGAAAAACCGGCCCCTGGGAAGGGGTCCAGACCTCTGGGGGTCGACGTTTTGAACAAATCACGACGTCGGGGGTCTGGGTCAGGGGGGAGGGGGCCTCAGGTATGCCCCCCGAGCATAGCAAGACCTGCCGCGCGCTGGTGGCTGGGCTGCCAGGGGCCATGGGTGTTCTGCCTGCCTGCTTTTGTGTGTACGCCCCGTGCAGGGGCAACGTCAGGGGGGGCGTGGACTCAGGGGGGAACGCATCGAGCCCCAATCACCCACTGATCGCCGATGGGGGCCCGACTGCCACACCCCGCCCAGGAACATGCGGATACGTCATTGGGGGCCTATCGCCGATCCATCGGCGATGCATCGCCGATTCCAGGTCGACGTTCCCCCACCAAGGCTGGTCCTCCCTTACCGTTGCCCCTCGCTTCTGCATCACCCAGGAGTTGGGGTTAGGGGGCCGAGCGGTCTTACGCCATCCCTGTCTGGATGCGTGTCTGAAGCGGGCTTCCGTGGTAAGGACTCTCGATGTGGAGTTTCCACTCCTGAAAAATGGTTGTTGATCCCCCCTCTGGTGCACCTTGTGTGTTCTGCAATTCAAGTGCCTTTTGCTTTTTGCAAGGGACAATCGCCCTTGTAAGACTATGGAATGTCCTTGGCCCCCACAACGGCTTCCGCCTGATACTTCCTTGCAATAGGTTGAGAGATCGGGCTTTCGTTCGGGACTGCATTTCAGTGTGTCTTGGAATCGCGCCCTTGCCAGAGACGCCCTCACGATTTACTCCACGAATCGCTTTTTCGGTGCTCTGGAATAGCGCTTTGGCGCTGACATGTCTCAGAATTGACTCGGGAGCCGCGCTTTCACCTGCGACTGCCTTGTCATCTCCTCTTGCTAATCTGCATCCGATGAAGAAACAATCGCTACGATAGGGACTTTGGAGGGGACAATGAAGTTCGGCCTCTCCGCCCGTTGTGGCTTTTGGGCCACACTCAATCCCGTGGACACAGATGCAAGGGTTAAGGGGTTGGGCTGCTTCATTCTCCGCGGGTTCTCTTTAAATCCCTCTCGCCCTCCCTCTTCTCCCTCCTTCCCTCTGGCGCCCTCCCCTCCTATCTCTATTCCTCTCCACTCCCTTCCTCCTTGTTCTCTCGTTGTTCATCATTTCTATTATTACTTGTCTAAGGGTTTGGCCAGTCATTCTCGCGGCAAGGACGGAGGCTGTGCCCCCCAAAGGGGGTTACGATCAAAGACGAAGAGGGCGGGGATTGTTCTTTGGGGGGATACGTGTCGAGTGACACGCGATAGTGTTTACACAACGACAGGCATTACAATCATGGTTCTTAGTGGTCGTAGTATCAGGGTTCGTTGCATTGTCATTATGTGTAGTATCATGCTGAGTAGCGTTAGTCGCATTAATAATGTTAAGCGTAGTATCGCTGTAAGTAAAAAATAAGTATTACTAAAGTTGTTGTTGCTGTTGTAGAGTTCTCATTCTTGAAACAAAATTATTGTTGGTCCACCCCACCCGTGCACCTTGTGTTTTGTCCATTCGGTTGCCCCCTCTCGGGGCTGGCACCTGCTTTCTTATCAGGGAGAGTCTTCCTGCTCAAACTGTGCCCCTAGCCCCCTGGCGACAACAGCAACGACTCCCGCCTGATACGTCCTCACATTGTATTCCGATATCGCGCTCTCGCACAGGAGTTCCTTCCAACTTATGCAGGAATCGTGCTCTCGCGTTGGACTTCCTCGCAATTTATTCACGCGCCGCGCGCACGACACTCAAGAATCACGTTCTCGTTTTTGCTTTTTCCTCGATTTACTTGGGAATCGCGCTGTCGCCTCAGATTTCCTTGCGCTTCATGCGTGATTCATGATTCAGCAACCCGCCTGCTCGACCTGGCCGCCTGGGCCCGCCTTCCCGACTCGCCCATTAGGGTCTGGCCGTCAGATCTGCCCGTCCGGTCTTGCCACGTGTTTTTTGTTTCTAGCTCCCGTCCTTCCAGTTTTTGTCGTGCTCCCTCCTTCTCCCTCCCCCTTCCCTCCGTCTTCGCTTCCCCTGCCTCAGGGGCTGCGCGAAATACACGTCGAGGGCAAGGGAGATATACCCCCAAGGGGGTACGGTCGAAGACGAAGAGGGCGGTCATCGAGGGTTTGGGATTTACGTGTCGAATGGCACGCGAGCAGATAGGAGCGAACAGTGTTAAAGAGGTGTTCTTGAGCCTCTATTGCTAAACAACTGGTATTGCTGGGCATCCTGAATGCGCTTTCGCGCTCTCGCCCAGGCGCCGGCTGCATTTGAAAATGAGACTCACGCTCAGGCGTTCTGGGGGTGCGCCAAAATCGTTCCCCAACAACAGCAACAATCATTTTAAGACTGCTCGCTCTTATCTGTTCGCGTGTTATTCAATATGCATATCCCAATCCCTGGATACCTGCCTTCTTCGTTTTCGATCGTACTCCCTTTTGGGGGGTAGATTCGTTCCCTGCCACGTGTGGTTGGTAAAGCCCTTGAAAACGAAGGGTAACAGATAAAGGGGTATAGTGAGGACGAAGGGATCGGAGGACGGGAGGGGAGGGGCAAGAAGGAGGGAGGACGATGATTTGCGCTTTGAGTGGCGGTTCAGATTGCGCCATGGCTTTCGCCAGCCATTCCAACACAGGTTAACAATAAGTTTCGCCATTGGGTCGCGCCATAAACAGCGCCACGTGCCACCCTCTTGAAAGAATAGATCGTGGATACCCCCACGGGGGGACGTACAGCTGCGAACGGGTGTCAGAAACAAATTTCGTGGAACCCTGAAAAGCAGCGGGATGTTGGGAGAGTGGGGCGGAAGGCCCGTGCACCTTGTGTTTTGTCCATTCGGTTGCCCCCCATCGGGGCTGGCACCTGCTTTCTTATCAGGGAGAGTCTTCCTGCTCAAACTGTGCCCCTAGCCCCCTGGCGACAACAGCAACGACTCCCGCCTGATACGTCCTCACATTGTATTCCGATATCGCGCTCTCGCACAGGAGTTCCTTCCAACTTATGCAGGAATCGTGCTCTCGCGTTGGACTTCCTCGCAATTTATTCACGCGCCGCGCGCGCGACATTCAAGAATCACGTTCTCGTTTTGACTTTTTCCTCGATTTACTTGGGAATCGCGCTGTCGCCTCAGATTTCCTTGCGCTTCATGCGTGATTCATGCTTCAGCAACCCGCCTGCTCGACCTGGCCGCCTGGGCCCGCCCTCCCGACTCGCCCATTAGGGTCTGGCCGCCAGATCTGCCCGTCCGGTCTTGCCACGTGTTTTTTGTTTCTAGCTCCCGTCCTTCCAGTTTCTGTCGTGCTCCATCCTGCTCCGTCCCCCTTCCCTCCGTCTTCGCTTCCCCTGCCTCAGGGGCTGCGCGAAATACACGTCGAGGGCAAGGGAGATATACCCCCAAGGGGGTACGGTCGAAGACGAAGAGGGCGGTCATCGAGGGTTTGGGATTTACGTGTCGAATGGCACGCGAGCAGATAGGAGCGAACAGTGTTAAAGAGGTGCTCTTGAGCCTCTATTACTAAACAACAGGTATTGCTGGACATCCTGAATGCGCTTTCGCGCTCTCGCCCAGGCGTTCCGGGGGTGCGCCAAAACCGTTCCCCAACAACAACAATCATTTCAATACTGTTCGCTCTTATCTGTTCGCGTGTTATTCAATATGCATATCCCAAACCCTGGAAGCCTGCCTTCTTCGTTTTCGATCGTACTCCCTTTTGGGGGGTATATTCGTTCCCTGCCACACGTGGTTGGTGAAGCCCTTGAAAACGAAGGGTAACAGATAAAGGGGTATAGTGAGGACGAAGGGATCGGAGGACGGGAGGGGAGGGGCAAGAAGGAGGGAGGACGATGATTTGCGCTTTGAGTGGCGGTTCAGATTGCGCCATGGCTTTCGCCAGCCATTCCAACACAGGTTAACAATAAGTTTCGCCATGGGTCGCGCCATAATCAACGCCACGTGCCACCCTCTTGAAAGAACAGATCGTGGATACCCCCACGGGGGGACGTACAGCTGCGAACTGGTGTCAGAAACAAATTTCCTGGAACCCTGAAAAGCAGCGGGATGTTGGGAGAGTGGGGCGGAAGGATTGTTCGAACTGCAACCGTGTCGAGAGGAGCGCGGGGATGTGGAGTGGATCGGGATGGAGTGGACAAGAGTAGGGTCTCAGGAGGAGGAGCGGCAACGAGTGGAGAAGAGGAACCGGGAGGAGTGCGGCGGAACGGGGGGCGCACGGAGGAATCTGGAGGAGGGGCTGGGAATAATTTGGGAGAAATGCGGAATGCGAGCGGGAAGGGGTGGAGATTGTTGGCCCCCTCTCTCGCCGAAGGGCAGAGAGGGGGCCACGAAAGGCGACGGCGGGGCCACGAAGGGCATGCATATGGGGCCACGACGGTTGCGAACGAGCGGGGGCCACGAAGGGCATTCGTATATGGGGCCACAAAGGCAAAGGGCGACAGCGGGGCCACTGAAGGCAGCAAACGGGCCGCGAAGGGCAGCGAGAGGGCCACGAAGGGCGACAGCGGGGCTACGAAGGGCATATACTGCGGGGCCACACGGGGCAGCGACGTGGCCGCTGAGGGCAGCAACGGGGCCACGAAGGGCAGCGAGCGAAGGCGACCGCGGAACCAACACGGGCAGCGAGGGGCATCGAAGGTGGGCG